ATATATATATATATATATATATATATATATATATATATATATATATATATATATATATATATATATATATATATATATTTCCTTATTCATTCGTCATTTACCGTCCCAACTCGTCGATCATTCCGCGAATTCGATATAAATTTGTTCGTACAGGTTGTATACACCCTCAATCGAACTAGACTGAGCAACGACGCGCTGAACGAGAGCCAAGACTCCGCGATGGGACACAGTCGAGACACAACAACGATCACCTGATCGCTCATAGGCAGAGGCGCCGGTGGCTACGTCAATCTCCTCTCGCATTCACCAGTGAACACCCCGTGTCCCGGTTACAGGTACCGTGAATCCCGCGAACCCCTTTTGGATGAAGTGGCGCCGCTGGTGGCGACCACGCCGCCAGCGCCTTCCTGCGACGTCGAGGGGAGAACCGACGTCCTCTGCCCGGTGCAAATACACGTGCACGATCCACCGATACGCGAACGACGAAAACAGGCGAACGAACAGGACGACGCAGCAGAACACGGGCAAAAACGGGGCGAGGATCGTACGAGAAATTGGATCGATTTGGACGAGAACGTATTGGACGGTTACATACTGATGGACGATTCCTGCCTGGAGTCCGGTGTCGTCGTGCCCGAGGAAACGCAGGAAATTCCTTACCCGGAGGGTGCGACGGAAGTCGACGACGAGAACGACGACGCCGACAGCCACGGTAAAGACGAATCTTCCATTTACAGCAGAGCGAGAGTGATCTCGCGAAGACTTCGGGAGGACTTCGATCTTAGTACCACCTATCCGATGGCCAATAGCCACGGCAACGCGTACAAAGAATCGAGCAGTCACACTAGGTACAGCGAGTTGTACTCGGAGCTGGCTGTCAGGAACTATCTGGAGATCAATCGGGAGGAAATGGCTAGTTACTCCGTGGCCAATAGCCACGGTGATCACAGCGTGTCGTCGGAGAACAGGGAGCGAGGTATCAGAGAGAACGCGGAGGCCGATCAGCTGGGTTGGGACATCAAACAGCAGATAAATTACGAGGTGGCCAATAGTCACAGTAACTACAGAGTGTTTTACGACAGTCAGACGCAACAAAGGGAACTGCTGCAGACGGCATGCTGGCCGATCGAGACTTGGAGGGAGCACTTGAACGCGAGTAATCGCCTGTTGGAGGATCAGAAGCAGAAATCGGCGAATGTCGGGCACGCCGGTGACGACGAACCGGCCAGGAACGATCGTTCCGAGGAAAAGAGCGACCTAAACTCTGAGCCAGCCTGCGACATCGAACAGTGTCTCGTGCAGATAGAGGAGAGCCTCCTGAATATCGAGCAGAATTTGCTTCACGTGCAGGACCTCGACATACCGGAATTGAGAAACCTTTTGTACAAAAGTCCGAGCATCGAGAAGAGTCTTTACGAGGTCCAGGACCTTCTGTACGCTGATGGTATCGTTCCTGTGATAAACAAAAGGAAACCTTCGACCCTGAGATTCGACGACGAGGACGAGGAAGAGGACGACGATGAAGAAGAAGAGGAGGAAGAGGAGGAGGAGGAAGAGGAAGAGGAGAAAGTTTGGATAAGTCAGAACATAACGGTGAAAGACAACGACAACGAAGACGACGACGCTGGTGCTGGCGCGTTCGACGCTTCCAACGAAGAGTCATCCGACACGACCAACGTGGAAGAGAACAACCAATCAGGATCGGCGGACGATCGTTCCAACACTGACTGCGTAGACGGTTCGACCGTTTTCCGCGAGGAAGCTGTCGATCCGAATTGCAACGAGAAAGCCATGAACTTTATTCCCAATAGTCTGAACAAAACTTTGCCGAGAAGAATCGTTCTCGAGGAGACCAAGGAGAACATCAGACTGAGCTTGTCAGAGCCCGTAGAGCCAACGACCATCGACTACAATCTGAACACCACGTGCGCTGAAAAGAAGCTGTTCTGCCGCAACAAGTGTCACAGCAGGACGAACTCCTTGGACGAGAATTCGACGTTCTCGAACTTGGACTCTGCCGACAAACGCGAGACTGGCAAGAGCTCGCTGCAGAATCTGCTGTTCGAGTCGGCGAACGGGAACTTTCCGGATCTGAGCGGGAAAGCGAGGTCGGAGGAAATGCTGCAAACACCGCGGAACAAGTCCCTGAGGAATAAGAAACGATCGACCATTAACGAGAAACGTTGGACGGAGGATCTTCGCGGGAAACTCGAGTCGGTTTCATCGAATCGGTGCGGTTTCACCGTGTCGGGCACCGCGAACGAGCAAAAGAGACCGAAAGTTTCGAAAGAGGTTGCGTCGCGTGCGCGCGAGAGATCACCGAACCGAACGAGGCGCGGCGCAGCGTCCGCGGAGAAGGTCCAGGAAAAGGAGAAAGAGTCCGGCGGTAAAAGTTCCGACAAGAGGAAGAGGAAGAAGATATCGAGCAGAAGTCAAAGTTCCTCGGAGAACGCGTTAGTGCCTAGCAAACTGATCTCTCTTTCACTGTCTCTTCTCCTCGCGGCTCTGTTGCAAGCAGTCAGATGTCTGACGGACCTGGTCGAAGACGCGTTCAGGTCGGTCAGCTACGACAGAAGCGGCCTACTGCAATAACGCTATTCGCGAACGGTTCTCGTCCGGCACGAGGAACCTTTCGTAGAACCTAGTAGCACCCACCGAGATGTCGCGTAAGAATGGGATCGTTAAACGGCACTAACTAACACTTATTTTTTTCCGTCGCATTCCAGTTCGAAACGTATTTGGTTCCGAAACGTGACGCTCCCCATCCAAGACCAGATTCCCGTCGAGACAAAACCGTGCTACCGTTTTAGCGAAACCGAGCGATCCGTTTTTTTTATCAATGTCGTAGAAACACGTAGGACTGCATCGGTCTAACTCTAGACTCTTTAGCCTTCTGAATGTGATTAGCCGTTGCACTACCGCCGTCAATCCGTCGTTAACGTACGATCCGATTCGGATCGTCCAACGTAGACATATAGCGATAGCCGAATAACATAGCGGGACGTTCGTTCCACTTTATCGATCAGCATCAGAATTCGTTGGCAAGACGAAACGTCGATAACCGAGAAATACTGATCGAATACCGATATCTGTGTTACTTATTACTGGATCTGTATTAACTGAAACTTCCAACGTTTATCATAAGTGTTTCCTGTCTACAGTCTTCTAATTGTCGATGATAAAAGAGCAACCGTCGTGACCGATCGATTACGTCTTCTTCTAGTGAGATCTCCCACGTCTAGCGAAACTGGTCTTGGATATCGCGGGGGTGAGAGAGGGAAGAGAGGGGCGGAACAAGGTCGTCCTGATCCAGAGACTTCCGACCACGAAGAACCTATGATTTGCAACCATAAACGTCCAGAAGCTGCAGCTGATGTCTGTGATAATCGCAATGCTTACGATTCGTAATTATGTTTCTCTACACTCGCGATACGCTTGCAACACGGGGGGTGGGGGGAAGAAGTTTAACCGTTAGGAAGAGATACCATACGATTCGTTCATTTGACAACGACGACGCGAAACGGGGACAGACTTTTCCCAATTTCTTTGCTTTTTTTTTCCTTTTGTTATATTTTCTCGAACTATTTTCCCCTTTCTCATACCGAGATCGATACGAGAATTATTACCGATAAAGGTGCTACCTGCGTGCAAAACCGCCGAGACGCCGCGAAAGGTTCGCGCGAAACGAGAGCGCGTAGGAGGGGATCGTGTCGCAGCGGGGAACATTCAGCAATCAGAACTTTCGACGAGCTTCCAAGGAAGATGTTTACGGATCGCTAGACGGGTATGTGCCAGAATGACACGGCGTGGAAACGATAGTGCACGATAATAGAAAGAAGAATGTCGCAGATAATGTCTTATCGATGGAGCAAAGTAGGGGCTAAGCATGTTACGGTATTTAGCACCGCGTACGTAACGTTCTAAAGTGCCTAAAAACGCGTCGCGTATCGCGGGTACGCGAGGTGCAGTACATATACATATATATATTTGTCTAATTGATTAAACATTAACCTAACGATTTAACGCTACTTATGTCTACCTATCGTAAGCCTCTTTTTTCAAGGTGTAACACGTTGCTGAGAGGACTCGAAAACGACTAAAAAACGACAAAAAATATATATATATATATATATACATACGAAAGAAAAAAGACAAAAAAAAAGAAGAGAGAGAGAATAAAGAAAAGTAAAGCAATCTGGCGAGAACGCTTACAAACGCGTTGATATCGCTCTCCTGTGTGTGAATCACTTTCATCCCCTCGTAGTTCTCTATCCTTTCCTATCGTTCCACGCGACGGATGGTACAAAGGTCGAAGTTGAGATCCGCAGCCGAGCAAATTAATTTCCCTATAGCGCAGGTTACGAGGCTCCCTCGTAGCAAACTTGCCGACCAGATTCGCGAACTCTCGTTCTGATAAAGTTTATCTTCGCCTCGGTACACGATACTCGCGATCCCTGAAGATCTTCGAAGCTTTGTTTCTTTGTATACGTGTATATATATAGCCCGGCAAAGGGTATTCATTCTTCGTTCGAGAAAACGCTCGACAACGGTACGATTCGAGTCTCTCTCGTTTTTGCAAAAAGTTGCACACACGTTCGAACGTTTTTCGAACGAGATTAAAAAGAAACGTCATTTCGCGTTTTACGAAAGGGCTCAAGCACTTAACGAGCGATCGATCCGAGGCTAGGTACGATCGAGGAAAGGCCACGAGCCAAAATTTCATTTACGTCGCACGGTGGCTGCTCTTAACGCGATGGAATCACGTTAGTTCCGCATCTTTTTTCCGCTAGAGAGCATCTTTCCTCGATTCATCGAGCATTGCCGTCGAGATCATCCGAGAAGCTCGCGTGACTGCACAGCTCGCAATTCGCATCTCGCGAAGGGGCACGGGGCAGCAGCAGGTTTATCGATCGATACTGCGTTCACCGTGTGTGACAACGAGAGAGAGAGATAGATAGATAGAGAGAGAGAGAGAGAGAGGTCGAGGCTATAGAAGAGCAGAACTCTAACATCCGAACGTTCCACGCCGAACGTTCTCACGGCACATTATAGAGCAACGTTCAGCCAGATCTACTCTCCGGATGTTACACGATCTACTCCCCCTTATCCCCGAGATCGTTAATTTCAATTAACGTCCAACCATCGGTGGCTGCCGCCGCTCGAACGATTACCGATACTCGCAACAACTCGAACAAGGATATCCTAAATATAACGGGAACGGATCGATCCTCGTTCCCTTTAGGGTTGAATTCGCCTGGCGGTTGGTTTAATCGATTCGACGGCTCAATCAAACCCATGCCGGGCCGTAGACAGTCGTCGAGAGGCTGAAACTTTGGGACGGGAACCGTTCGACGGCCACCGAGCAATCCGATCACGTCGGATTTGTCGGATAAAGAACAAAGCTCGACATTCGTGCGACTCCGCTTCGAATTTTCAATTAAAATCCCTTGCCAGGAGACGCACTCGGAATACGTTAAAAAAGAGGAGGAAAAAAGGGGGAAAGAAGGAGAGCGGGAAGCCTTCTGTCCGAAAGGTTCACGATCGGTTTTTCAAACGGTTACGAAGTGTTGGAGCGAGCCCCGTGCGTCTGCCCTCGGCCTCGGATATTGGCCGTGGCAAGGGCCATCCGTAACACGATGATATTGCCATTTCGTTCGGGTATTTACCACCACCGAGCCACTGTATCAGGACAAATAATATTCTTCGGTGCCAGGCTCCCAGCGGAATATCAATCGTTTAGAAGAGCACCGAGCGAATCCAGTGATAGCCGGCGACGTAAATACCGCATTTACAGCGGGCCAGCCGGCGGAATATTACCGCTGGTATAATGCTAAAATATACCTCCGGTGACAATAAAATCGAACTTCCATCCGTTGGGCAAATCACGGCCGGAAATCGCTTCGAGGCGCTTCGACAGCACGACCAAATGCCTAGCTCGAGGGATCCGTCGACGAATTCGAGAGTGCTCGACTTCCACCGCGATTCTCGATTATCGCGATACGTCACTCATTGCAGGGATACAGGAAATCGTTGGTGATAATGAAAACAAAAAGAAAAAAAAAAAAGAAAAAGAAAAAAAGACCAAAACAACAACAGTGGTTCAAGCAGGGAAGATTGACGAAACGACATAATGAACGGGCTGCGAATGTTTGTGCATTTGTGGAAAGCAATCGAGAAGGCGACAAGGATATTTCATCCTAAATATCTGAAATGTAAAGAACGTTAAAATTGAGATATAAGTCAAAGAAACATAAATAATACATTTCACCTGTGGCCTTCGTGTACGTAATCGTATGGTAATCGCTTGCGGTGTTTGATGGGTGATGCAAAAAAAAAGAATTATGCATAAACATTCACGGCCTATTAATGGAACTTGATGAATAACACAATTTGTACAACAGAGTCACGGGTCAAGCCATTTGCATGATTTTCTCGTGCAGATTGAGATATCGTTCTTAAATTGCCCTCGTTAGTGTTTGAGTTGCGAACTGATTGCGCCAATTCAATGCCCATCTCGCTAATAGAGACGAGATGCGAATTTCTGTCTAGATTTTGACTGTTACGAGAGCGAAACTTTGGAAAATGTTGCTGAAAATTTATGTAGCGTGTACGTTCTGAATTTTAGCTAAAATTTAGCTAAAGTGAACCTCTGCTTTTGGAATTTCTGAACAATAAGCGTTGATTCCACTTTCAGCTTTTCTTTTTTTTTTTTTTTTCTAGGATGAAACTGAGTGATTTCTACATCGATAATTGATAAGCGATTTTAAGATGAAGTTTCAACGAGCTTATCGTACACAGTCGTTTGAACGGAACGACGATGCACGATCGCAATCTTATAAGTATCCTGTCGATGCGACTGGAAATTTGTTTAAGCACTTAACGTGGAAATAATGGCGTTCAACTTACGATAAAAACCACTGCGTGTGCAAGTCTACGCGACTTGCATTTTCAAGTTCGAAAAACACGGTTATCTTGTAAATAAGTTTTTCCAAATGAATCCTTTCATATCTCTAGTTTTCTGTAATCTGAAATTCTGATGACTCGTTTAATAAATCAAGTTCTCTACATGCGTTTTTTTCATAATTTAGATCATAAATTCACTTAACAATTTTCATGTAAACGAGAGAATGCTCTTTTTTTTTAAGAAGAATACATATTCAACGGTTCGACGTAATTCCTAACCTACATTTCCACACCCTTTACCCAACTTAAATCAATTTGTTAAGTCCGCCTAGTAAATCCGCGTTGTAACGCCAGCCTTCGTGAGATTAGTATTCGCGAGATTTTGCCATGTAATGCAAAATATTCTCATTCCACTTCGGCCGTGGTTTCACTGCATTATCAACAACAACTCCGCTTTGCACTCCATAAATTTCAAGAGATAACGAAACCAGAATCGCGCGCGTATACTTTCTGATTAGACCGACTACGCTGTGAAACGAATGTGACATTGTTATTAAATCGTCGCGGCAGAAAATGAAAATAAAACGTGGTTTGAAGAAACGAAGGGAGACGTCGAGAGTCAGAATCAACGTCGCGATGCCAGTATCTTCGTAACGGCGGTCCTCAAAATATTTTCCCTCCTAGAAAAGGTTTTACCGTCGCGTTTTAAAGTGCGGTTGATTCACGCGTTGAAGTTCTCTCGAGCAAAAATGCATCTCGGGGATGCTTTCGGGGACGAAAACTATTGCGAGGAGGTACTTGAAAATATTCAAAATTGATCGTTTCCCACTCCAAGATGAAAGCCTCTCGGGCGTTGAAGCTTAAATAGTCATCAAATTTAATATTTGTCAAAGCGTCCAGCTATTCTTACGAAAGTTTGAAAAACGATGACATTATTTTTCCGGAGACATCGAAATTATGTATATTCTAACAAACCCTAGTAACTGCATAGGTTGATGATTGCTTCAAATTTAAACGATATCACGCATTAGAAAGATATAATCAACAAAATTTCGTATTAAATACCATTTGAATGATCATTTCCAATTTCTGTTATATCGTTTCATTTAAAGTGACGCTTCGTAAATAAATTACTGATAGACGATACAGAAAAAGTTTGTCGAGAGCAAAGGGTTAAACATTTCGGTGCAGCCTTTCTTTAAATTCTCTTGGCCGATAGTAGCTGGCGAAAAAAAGCTCGGACGTTCCGTTTCGATTAACAAGTTTTGGGAATTAAACGTAAATTCCAACATCAATTGGGGG